AAGTATTGTAAAACGTATAAAAAAAAAACCTTAATTAATTGTGTAACGATCTACAAAATCGGGGCACTCGGGACGTTTTTACCTGTGATAAATGAATATATACAAAATATTTAATTTTATTAGTAAAAGTTTCATACATAAAAGTTATTCTATCTGAATATTTTAAACTTATCTGCATAACTGTTACACGAAATTTTATAATTTGATTGGTTAAAATTATAAAATACAAAAATTTTATTAATAATTTTTGTCCAAATGAATACGTACAAAATTGGTCCACCGACCATATTCATTACTGGAGTGAAGTAATTTATGAAATTGGGTGAAATTGATTTTCACCGGCATCTTTGAATATACGTAGGTACGAACTTTTATATACCTTTTGGGGCATTGTGACGCATTTAATCATTGCATAGCCTCATTTATTAAGTGCGTGGCATTACCTTCTATAATATAAGATCTGTATTTCTTTTCTCATTCGTATATATTCAGAATCTCTAAAAAGATTATATTGTATCTTTTGAAAAGATCTGTTCTATTTCGGAAATAAAACTATAGTATTTATGGCGGGAACGATTGATGAATACCACGCAACTCTTAAAATTCTTCTAATTGGTAATTCTAATGTGGGGAAGTCCTCTCTTCTATTACGGTTCACCGAGGACACATTCTTACCGACGGACGATGTATCAGCTACAATAGGTGATTTTATGAATAGATTTTATATCTAAAGCCAAGACTGAATTTATTATTAGAAAGAATCTAAAACTATTGTTAATTGTTTATTAAATTATTTCTAATAAATAGGCGTAGACTTTAAAGTAGTAGATACAGTAGTTAACGGCAAAAGATATAAGTTGACTATTTGGGTGCTCCATATTTTTTAGCTTAAATTTCTCATTTTTTAAGCCTAGAATTCATGACTTATTCACATCAAAAATTTGATAGGATACTGCTGGTCAAGAACGATTTCGAACTCTCACTTCTTCATATTATCGTGGTGTACAAGGTGTTATTCTTGGTAATAATATTCTTGATCAAGTTTTAACAATTATTTTATCATTTAATTATTTTAATTATTCACTCAATCTTTGTTGACCGCTAGTTTACGATGTAAGCAAGAGAGAATCGTTTGACCAATTGGATAGCTGGTTCGGAGAATTGAATACGTATTGTTCGAGTAAAGACGTGGTGAAAATGATAGTTGGAAACAAAGTTGACAAAGTATATGTTATGACAATTCACTATGGAATCTATAAAACATTTACTTATTTCAAATTGATTTTTAAGTCATTTTTTCTATTGTTTCATAGGAACATTCTCGAGTGATCACTCGCAAAGAAGCTGAAACATATGCACGAAAAATGCAAACCTTGTTTATTGAATGTAGTGCTAAAACTAGGGTTGGTGTTAAAGAAGCTTTCGACGAACTTGTTACAAAGGTTGCTTTAATTTCATTAATATTGCAACGTTTTTTACTCGGTATATATCACGTTATCTATTGATTGTTAATTCTTAATTATTTAAATAGATCATTGAAACGCCAAGCTTATGGCAAAAAAAAGAAAAGCAACCTGATAATATCAATGTATCTCGCTCAGCACAAACAAAGCAGGAAAATTCTGCGTGTTGTTAGGTTATATTATGTATTTAGAGATGTTTGTTTTTTTGATAATATATTAATGAGGCGTAGAAAAAACACGTAACGTGTTCTTTGTGTAGAAAAAACAATTCATTTAAGGCCAACAGAACGTAGGTAAGAATATGATAAAGGTAAAGTGGGACTACAAGAACGCACTGTCGTATTATTTATTACAAGAGTTATTATTTCATAATCGCACGTATTGTATTTGCATTTATGATTAAAGATTCACAAAAATTCATTAATATGGGTGGATCAATAAATAGTGTTTTCCTAATATAACAGACTTTGTAATTTAGAGCCATATTTTTATTTTATTTTATTTATTTCATGTAAATTTAATTTTTATCATCGAATAATAAAGGCATTACGAGGCTTATCCACGTGATATACTGAAATTAATTTAGGGAAGGGCGTCCTTAAAATAGACCAGGGGTTTAGATTCCTTACCCTAAACCCCCTATATAAATAAATTTTTTAAAATAGTGGTCATTAGTGATGTTATCCTGCTCCAACCGGTTAATTTGTGCTTAAAAACCCGTTTGAACCACAAACCAAGCATCGCCCAAAAGATCAGGTACGTTTAGAACTCAACAATAATTCCGACAGTTTTTGTATAACGCCA